CTGCAGAATCAACTTTGCAACAGATTCGAGTGAAGGCAGGTGTTCTCATCAGCCAAATCGAGAAGGAGGTTGCTGGTGGTCGTTTGATTTTTGCTGCAACGCATCCGCTTTACAATTGGGCTTTGTTGCACTCAGCGTGGCTTCACAACAGGTTTGTTGTCAGCGGAGGCACGACAGCCTTTGAAAGATCTTCTGATCGAACATACACTGGAAAGCTCTGCATGTTTGGCGAGACAGTGCTTGGCTACATTCGCACTGACAAGAAAGCTGCTCCACGTTGGGTGAAGGGTATCTGGCTTGGGAAGGCACTTACAAACGACACACACACATCTTGGCCCACAGCAATGGCGTTTTTGTGACTCGAAGTGTGAGGAGGTTACCCACGCCTTTTGTGCTGGAATCCCTGGGCGAGGTTGAATTGGGCCCTTGGGAGTTTGGTTATGCTGCTTTGGGACACAGGATGATGTACAACAAGACAGTGTCTCCTCCACAGCCTTTTGGGATGCCCATGATCGATTTTGAGGCAGTACATGTGCAGAACTATGCTGCCAAGCACCCGAACGAGGACATGGATCCACCTGCCGACAGCCAGGTGGGGCAACAGGCGCCTCAACTTGCGCCTGATGTGCCAGCTGATGAAAGCAGCCAAGCTGGTCCAGTTGAAGCTCAACGAAAACATGATCTGCAAGATCCAGAACCTGCTGGTGACTCAAAGAAATCAAAAGTTGGAGAGGAACAGCCAGTGACACCAGAGCCTGATGATCTGATGCTTAGCAGCTAAGCACAGGTGAACGCTCTCCCAAGACTCCACGTCTGGCTGAATCTCCTCGACAACAACGCATGCAGCAGGTCACCAGCACAGACCTTGATTTGTACGAGCATGAAGATTCTGCTGTTCAATTCAAGTTCGACAACGGCGACCTGGACAAGCTTGAGCAGTATGAGTTTGAGTTTTACGATGATGAGCTGCTTGCAACAGATGGCAGCGACACCAACGACGGCACTGAGCTCTCCAAGATGATTGGTCAGTTGACCTTTCCTTTCAGTTCCAAAGAACCTGAACTGAGTGATGCTGAGCTTACAAAGCTTGATGCTCTGGCCGACCGAGTTGAATTGGATCGCCTGGAAAAGCTTGCAGTGCTACAAGATCCCAGCACTGTCCCCAGTGACTCCAAGGTGCTGAGTACAAGGTTCGTGCGCACTTGGAGGGAGAAGCACGACAGCGAGGGCAATCCAATTTGGTTGCGGCGGTTGCGATCCGTGGCCAGAGAATTCGCCTGGCTTGAGGCCGAGCGTGAGAGCCTTTTCTCTCCTGCAAGCGGAAGCATCATTTCAAGGATTCTTCCAACCATCTTCCTTGAGATGCGAGAAGATCATGATGCAGTTCTTGCAAGCTTGGATGTCCGTGACGCTTTTCTCACGGTGCTGCAGGAGAAGCCCACTTTGGTGCATACAACAGATGCAAGTGGTGTGACCAGGAGTTTTGCCCTGGGGAAGGTGCTTCCAGGCCAGCGGGATGGCTCACTTCTTTGGTACAAGGCCATCACTGCTTTTCTGAAGAAGAATTTGGACCTTGAGGAGCACACGCCTTACCCATGTGTGCTGAAGTCCAAGGACAACTCATGCGTGGTGATGATCCACGTTGACGATTTGCTCATCGCTGGAAAACGAAGTTTTGTGATGGGAAAATTTGTTGAAGAGTTTCGCAAGGTCTATGACATTTCAATGCAGTGTCTTGAGCGGCCTGGCGACGAGATCACCTTCCTAAAGAGGCACCATGTGCTCCATGCAGATGGCAGATTGACCATCCACACGCACCACAAGCATGTTCTACAACTATGCTCTCTGCTGGGACTGAATGCCAAGAACCAGAACAAGAAAAGCCCAGCTCATGCAGACATTGATCTGGAGGACAAATCTGAAGACCTCCAATCAGGAGATGCAACTACCTTCAGAACGTGCGTTGGAATCCTGATGTACCTGGCGAACGACCTTCCTCATTGCCAGTATGTGATCAGGTACCTTTCAACATACAGCTCCAAGCCGACGCAAAAGAGCCAAACAGTACTGAGGCACCTTGTCTCTTATCCGGCCTGCCACACATCAATCTCGATGTCTTTGAAGTGGTGTGGAAGAACATCTGGTATTTACCATGGCTATCCAGATGTTCAGCAGTCAGAGAACGTTCTTGAAGTTTTCACAGGCTCTGACTGGGCCTCTGATCGACAGACCCGAAGGAGCGTCAGCTGCTGTTGCATCTTCTTTGGTGGCTGCATGATTTTCTCAGCGTCGCGAACGCAGAAAGTGGTTTCACTTAGCTCTGCAGAAGCTGAAGTCTACGCTTGCAGCAGCGGGTCATCAGATTCGATACTCCTTGCCAGGCTTTTGACTTGGCTCACTGGGCGCCGCACCTGGATCTATGTCTACACAGACAGCAGCGGCGCACGTGGAATCTTGCAGAGGCAAGGGGTAGGGGGCTTACGCCACCTCAGTTGCCGCGTGCTCTGGCTCCAGGCACTTATTGCCAGTGGCACTATTCGTCTTTGCAGTGTCAGCGGCCATGTGAACCCAGCTGACATTGGAACAAAGAGATTGTCGGCGGCTCGTCTCAGAAGTTTGATGGCTGTTTTGGGCCTCTACAACAAGGATGTGTGAGCCTTGGAAGGAGGTGACACCCTGGAAAGGTGTTCATCAAGCGCGAGAGCGTGAGGGCACTGGTTTGCGCCTTGAGCCTCCTGAACCTCAAAGGCTGCAGTGATGAGAGCCAGGTGGAACATGGATGGAATCTCCTCATTTTCACTGCGCTTCTTGGTTTTGTGATGATGGTGCCCCTCATGTTCACTTTGCTTAGTTGGTTTTCAACTACCTCGGAGGCTGATACAGCCCTGGATGGCACTACGGAGCCTTCAACTGAGGCCACAGCTGTGAACGCCACCAACCCATCTGGAACCAGTTCAAATCCAGTTGAAGCCACAGGCAGCTCTTACACTGTGGCAGTTGCGACACCTCTTGGCCCAGGCGAGGTGACAGTTTTCACTGGTGCTCGAAGCTCCAACGAGGATGTTCCTATTTGGGGTGGCGTGGATGAATCTGGAATGCCGAGGTTCAGCACGGCATTTGAGTTGCCAGCCCCTGGAGATGCCTGGTCGCCTGAAGCCATGATTACCTGGATGTACGAGCGATGCGCGAGAAGACATGGCATTGCTGCGACAGATGAGAGGAGGCAGCTTTATGCCGAGCGCATGGCCGTTCTCAGAGGTGTCATGCAAGGCTGCAGGTCGACAGATGCTGAGCTGAGGCTGGAGGCAAGCCGTATGACCAGGTCAATGACAGACATCTCTGAGGATGAGAACAGCCCTTCTTACAGGCTGAGTACATCAAAGTTTTGCACAACGCTTGACGAGGCCGAAAGAGCAGTTTCAGTTGGCCAGCAGCTGGTGGACACAATTGGAAGTGCCAGCGCGTCAGGCCACTCAACAACTGGAGGTGCTGCAGCTAGCAGCGCTCATGTGAATGCGGTGGCAGATGCAATGATCCGCATGCTCAGCGCCGAGAACCCGGAGGAGGAGACATCAGAGAGCGATGCTGCAATGGAAACTCAAAGCGAACGAGCTCGACGTTATGGTAGCTCTGAGCTCTGTGAAGTGAGCGACCCAGATGAGTGGATGCTGTACCACCACGGGCCATCTGATAGCGAAGATTCAGATAGCTTGTGAAGTGGGTAGTATCCTTGGCCAAGCGGCTAATCTTTTAGGAGGTGAAGCTTGGTGACACGTCTCAAAGAGACATAGCAAGAAGTGGCACACCAAATGGAGCCCCAGCGGCACTGTCATCAACCACCAATAAAGTTTTACTCCATGGCAATACCTGTTGCCTGAGGAGGTAGGTGTAGTGCTGCTGCATTAGCATTTGCAGCAAGGTGGGGTGCAAACTGTTTTCGCTTGTGCAGTGTAGGCAACAGTTGCATTCCATGTCACATAGATCAAGTGTAGTATCAGTTCTTATCTTGAGGCGCTTTCCTCTCAAGGAAAATACGCACTTTCGAATATTTGCCCCAAATACCCACAGTGGGTAAGCTTTCAATTTGGCCTTGATTTTGCGGTGATGTTCTTCCCACGCCACCACCTGACCTGGCTTAGAGCCGCTCGGATGACAGGAATGATTGTGGCAATGCGATCCGTTGCATGACTGTGGTGGTCAGGAGAAGTATGGAACCTATTTGTTGAATTTGCATACATCATTCTAATTGCCGCATCGCCGCATTGCAATCCCCAAAAGGAAAGGCAGGTTGCATGGTTTTAGAACACTTTTTTTCAACATTTTTTCGTAGATTGCTTTAGCAAAACCTTGAAACTGGATGATTTCAAGTTGATTATACCCTGTGAATGAAAGGTGATGCGTGGTGATCCACAAACAGCGATGATTTCAAAATCAAACATGATCAGTTTGGCCATATGGCAACGAACTGTCTCTCATATTTGCTATGAAGTAGTCGGCGATGAAAATCCGTGCGCTTTTGCACAAAAAGTGTTGCGCCTTATTTGTTTCGTGGCCCCAAAAATTGTGATTGTCACGTGTGACTGCACTTTATGACAACAAATGCATTACAACCGGAATGCAACTTTCCTCTCAAGTGGGAGGGTGGGCAGGGTTTCCCACGCTTTTTTGTGCGGATTAGCCATGGGGGATAGGATTTGTAGCTCTCCACCGTGTATCTCCTGGAACAGCTACAGCAACGAGGCTCTTCTCAAAACCTTGCAGGAGGTTACTGCCGTGCTCCAGCAGCGCTTGTCTGATCCAGCAACCTCCAGTGCAGATCAACCTGCACAGGGAGTGCCAGCTGGAGCCACCACTGTTGGTGGTGGGCAAGGTTTGGTGAAACCTTGGTCCTGCGGCTTTACCTGCAGGTGGTGTGACAGCGCCTGCACCAGGAAAGAAGGGCACAGCTTTCATTCTTGCTACGAGCATAGGCACAGGCGATGAGACGTCGTTGGCAGAGCATGTATGGCGCCAAGCCTGATGAGCCTGATGATGCTCCTACCACCATGCCGGTGACCATTCCAGGAGAGGACACAGGTGTTGATGACGCAGATGATCTTTTCAAAATTGCAACTGGTAGTAGTGGCATTGACTTTTCTGCACAGCAATCAATTTGGGATTTGGATCAATTTGATGCTTTGGATTGGTTGGAAAGACCTTGTGAGACACCCGCCCCAGTTGGTCCTGCTCTTGCTGGTGACAAGGACGGTAAGGTCATGTTTGTGGACAAGAGTGCATCCGCAGCTTCTGCAGAACCAACCAGGTTTGAAAAAGTTGCTGCCGTAGCGCCTCCAGGTGTGGTATCAGAAGCACTTCGACTCACTGACAAGAAGCCTTTGCTGTTTCCTTGGGAGAAAGGTAGACTGGGCCGTATTTTCGGCCAACAGGGCAGGCTGAGTCTCAAACAACCAAAGCTGAATCCAGGTGCCAACAATTTTGTGCAGGTGGGTGTTGGCGTGTCAGAAGGTTTTCATGTGGATGGTGCTTTAACAGTTCGTGCTGGTTCCAAAGATCCCACATTGTACAAGGCCGTGGTGAAGAACATCATTGGGTGTACCTACACAGAAGAGCGTGAGGCACAACGCGATCATGCTGTACGCCAGTGGTGGGATTTGCTACGCTTCAACATGGCAGCGAGCGATCCTGGACGGGCAGCGGTGCACGAGACAGGGCTCTCGGATATTTACAAATACGGGATCGAGCTGCTTGACGCGGTGTTCGGCATCAAAAGCCCGGGCACCCTCATGAAACGCCTTTGTGCCATCAAATTGTACAACCATTGGATCATTCGGCATTATTCCGAAGTGTGGATCCCGCTGTCAGAACAGCGTGTGTGGGAGTACATGCGCTTCTTGCGTGAGACAAAAGCACCCGCATCCAGAGCGGTGAGCCTTCTTGAGTCTGTTCGATTTTGCCACCACTTGCTGAAGGTGGACGGCGCGCACGAAACTCTGGACAGTCTGCGCGTCAAAGGTCTGGCAGCCCAGTTGTATGCAAGCAAGAAGCCCTGGCATCCGTCCGATGTCCTTTCTGTGAGTGAAGTGGAGTTTTTGCATCACTGCTTCATGGATGTCAGCTTGTGTGACGTTGATCGGATCTTTGTGGGGCATCTATTGCACATGTTGTATGCAAGGGCTCGTTTCAGTGATTTGCTGTCAGTGACCGACCTCTTCATTGACGACGAGAATGCGTTCATGGAGGTGAGTGCCACTCTGCATAAAGGTGCTCGGAGCATGGATGCCCGGTCAAAGCTGCTACCAATCGTGGCACCTGCGACTGGCATTGTGGGGGACAATTGGGCCCGCACCTATTTGGAGCTGCGACACAAAGCAGGACTGATGAACCCCAAGGACGTTGCCTGTCCAATGCTGTTGGCGCCCAAGCCTGGTGGACAGGGCTGGAGTGACAGGTATGTCACATCACAGGAGCTCAACAGCTTTCTCAAGAAGTTGTTCGCCAATGGTGGACGGTCCATCGCAGGACGAAAGATTACAACTCATTCAATGAAGGCCACGGGATTGTCCTGGTGCTCGAAGCTTGGCATCTCCCAGGAACACAGATCAATCCTGGCACGACACGCAACAAGTGTCCAAGGAGCAACTGTGTTGTACTCACGCGACTTGCTGTCGAGCGCTATGAGGTCATTCAACAGTGTCTTGAGCTCTATCAGGGCGCAAACCTTCCAGCCTGACAAGTCACGATCAGGAATGATTACACCGGCCAGAGCCACACCGGCTGGGGCACCTGTGACGCCCTTCCCGCCAGTGGCAACAGCATTCCCGGCAGTGGCGCCATTGGTCCAGAGCAACGTGGATCTGGACGCAGGGGCTGGCGCTGAGGGTGATGCAGGCATTGACGTTGCTGCCACAACAGAGAAAGCGCCGGACGGTGAGTTGTATTCACCTGGCACTCCTTTGGTCAAAGAGGAGTTTGAATGGCCCACTTCTGACTGGAATGATGGTGTGATCGACTTGGAGGAGCAGCACGATCTGTTATCTGCCTGGCAGTCGGGGTCGGAAGAGGAGTCAAGTGGCTGCTCAGACTCTGACGAGAGCAGCTCCTTCGAATGGGACATGCCCATGCCTGATGAGGGTCCTGCCGTGCGCCCAGTTGCAATCGTGCCCAAATGGCACATCAACGTGAAGACAAATGTGATTCATGAGACCCGGAACGATAGCTCGTTCAGATGTGGCAGGGCTTTGAGCCCCATGTATGTGGCAATCCCTGCACTGACAGGCTTGCGATGCGGCAAGTGTTTTGCACACTGCCTATGAACCCGACCTCGCTGTGAGGTTGAAAAATTGTGCTGGGACCTTGGGTCTCATATTCTGTTGGGTGTCAACAGAGGGTGTACATGTACACCAAATTTCTTGCTGGTATGTCCAGCAGTTGTGATATGTTCACAAACTTGACTTCTAGGCATTTCAGATGTGTTCATGTCATGTTTCCATACGTGAAGTTCACTTGATTGCGATGGTTTTTCAATGTCCTTCAATGTGCCTTGTGTCTGGCTGGCTTGTTTATTCACCGGTGCTGCAGCTTGGTGTTGTGATGTCACATTGGGATTTGGTGTAACTGGTATTTCCATTTGAACGGGTGTTTTGTTCTTGTGCCTCATGTGCATGTGCAATTTCAGTGAGATGTCACTTGTGCATTGTGATCATTTCGTTGCAACCTCAGTTTTATTTGCGTGTGAGAACTTGGTTCAAGATGGCAGGCATCCAAGACAGTGAAGCGCATTTTGCTGCTAGGGCAGCAGAGTATGGCTTACCCAATGCTTTTCTGGCCAGGTTGAAGGACCAAGGTGTGACGACTCTTGGGCATTTGGCATTTGCAGTTTTCAGACCGGGAACAGAATTTGAAGAGAGAGCTTTCAATGAATGGGCCACAGATGTGAACAATGGAGTCCCTTTGGCAATGGGGGCAGCAGCAGCACTCAGGCGACTGCACTTTGAAAGCGAGGTAGTGTTGACATCTACGATCAGAGCTTCAGTTGAGGCCCCAGATGCTGGAACACCTAGACCGGTTCCGTTTGCTGAGAAGACCGCAAAGATGGACGAAATGCGTGGGCGCTTTACTGCACTGAATATCCATGGTACAGGCGAGCCTTCACATGCCCTTTTGGACGAAGTGTGCTCCCAATATGAGTCTAGAATTTTGAGGTATGTCGAGCCTCAAAAATGCACCAGCCGGGAGCTGGAGATTACAACTGGCAGGTCGGATAAGAAACTCAAGTTGGATGCGGGAACACTGTCCATAAAGGAAACCAAAAGCATCCCAGACGAAGCCATATCCACAACATTCCATCTGTCCTTGTGCCTGAGACGCCGTGGGTTAGCATATGAATTCGCTAACCTCATCTCTTTTAGAGCCCATGAATTATATTCAGAGAAGCTGCTCAGGCATCTCAGCGTGGAACCGCCTGTAGGGTTTCAAGCAGCCACCCTTGCGCAAATCTTGCGCGCCGATCGTGAAGTCTTCAGCTTTTTGACGCAAGAGGTCAAAGACATACGACCTGGAGCAGATGACACCCGTCCTTTGGATGCTGCATTGGACAGAGCACTGCGTGACTATTCGGTTGCCTTCCATTTGGTGCCCTTGCCAAAGTTTACAACTGCAAGGGATGAAGTTGCGGCTGCACCAGTGCGAAAGCATGGCAGTGAACCGTATACAGTGCAGCACTACTCAAAGGGAAAAGGTCGTGGGAAAGGCAAAAGCGGAAAATCCCTGGGCTCCAACGCAGCCCCAAAGGGGTATCATGGATGTGTTGGTCGAGATGCAAAAAACAGACCCATTTGCTTTGACTACAACATTTCAGGTTGTTCAAAAGCTCCAGCAGGAGGATCATGCCCTAAAGGTCGCCATGTGTGCTTTCGTGGCGGATGTTTCAAAGCTCATTCCTTTAAGGAAGCCCATTCTGCAGAAGTGCCTAAAGCAACGGAATGACGGGAACTTGAACCTGCGGCCGATGAAGCATCTTCTCATGCAGTTGTGCTGGAACTGTTTTGCGGCACCGCGGGGCTCAGTGCATCATTAAAGCAGTTGGGTTTTGATGTCATTGCTGTGGACAAAATCGTTGCCAAGTCTCCAAAGGTGATGGTAACAAAATTAGACCTCACTCAGGTAGCTACCCAGCAGCTTGTTTTTGAATGGATTGGCTTGCCACAGGTCAAAGCTGTCTTTGTCGCACCACCATGCGGTACAGCTAGCAAAGCGCGTACAATTCAGTTGGAAGGTGAAACAAACTTGCCACAACCGCTCAGGACATTTGAATTCCCTGATGGTGTTGATGGACTCACTGGTTGGAATTTTTTGCGTGTGGAACAATCAAACATCCTCTATGATTTTGTCGCTGCTGTTTACAATGAATGTTGCAGAAGAGGTAAGCTCTTTGTTTGCGAGAACCCAAAGGATTCACTGTTTTGGCAGGTAACGCCCTGGTTAGAAAGGGAATTTCTTCATTTGGAGTGTGAGCAAGTGCATCAAGCATGCGCATATGGCTCCAAGAGACCAAAGTGGACCAAATTGGTGGCCAACTTCCCCCTGATACACCGAATCAACAAAACATGTCCAGGTGATCATGCACACAAAGCGTGGGGTGTTCAGAGACAGGGCACAAAACGAGTGTTTGCAACTTCACTGGAAGTGCACTATCCCACATTGCTGTGCAAGGAATTGGCCGAAACAATTGCACTGGCTTTGCAACAACATAATGTATTTCCTGCAGCCCCTTTGTCTCTAAACAAGACAGCACGTGCTTTTTCTCACGTGCAAGCTGGAACCGCAAAGATTCCTACATTTCTGCCAGAATACAAATGCAAGCTCGCAACAGTATGGTATGACAATGCCCAGATTTGGCCACAGCAGCAGCGGGACCTTTCAGCAGCCAAGTTGCTACATGAGATTCAACTGGGGGGTGAGGACATGCAGCAACTATGCAACGAGCTGCAACAACACTGTCGCTTGAAAAATTTGGATTTGTGCTTCAACGTTATTGATTTTTCACGTTTGGATCAAAAATTGGAGTTTCCATGTCATGTGTTTTTGAAGGTTTTTGGCATTTACTGGGATGAGACGGAGTTTGTCAAAGAAGCCATTCGGGCCAAACACCCTCTCGATGTTGCACTGGCAGTCCCTGAACAATTGCGTGAAGCTGTCCAATACAACTTGAACACTGCAGAACATGATATCACTTTGCACAGAGCACGCTACTTGGCGACTTGGCTGAGACGTGCAAGGGAGTTGTCGGCAGATGAGAAAGATTTGAAGGCCAGTATGGATCCGGAAGTTGCTGCCGCAGTTTCCAACAAAAGAATTCTTGTGTTTGAAGAAATGTTGAATGCGTGTGACTTTCCTGACATGTCTGTTGTGGAGGAGCTGAAAGTGGGTGCTTGTTTGACTGGAAGTATACCACCCACCAATATGTTGCCGGGAAAATTCACTCCAGCTCTTGCCACAACTACAGAGGTACAAGACAATGCAGCACGTATCAGGCCGAAGCTCGACCAGGAGTCCACAGGATCAGGAGATGACCACGTGGATCAAGTTGTGTGGTCCAAAACGTTGGAAGAGGTCGAAAGGGGATGGTTGAAAGGGCCGTTGCAGAAATGCGATGTCCCTGTCAACCAGCCCATTTCGCGGAGATTTGGCCTTGCCCAGAAGAAAGGGAAGATACGTTTAATTGATGATTATACAGAGTCAGGTGTGAATACATGTGTTACAGCAGTTGAGTCCCCAGTCCTTCATACAATCGATGTGGCTTGTGCTTTGTTAGCTTTTTGGTTTGGTGAATGTGAAGAGGGCGGCTGCGACCCTACCTTGGTGGCTAGAACCTTTGACTTGGCAAGCGCGTACAGACAGGTAGCTCTCAGCAGTGAGGGCAAACGTTTTGCTTGCATCCGGGTGTTTGATCCGGAGGCGAAATGCATGAAGTATTTCAGGAGCCTAGTGCTCCCTTTTGGAGCCGTGCGCAGTGTGCACACATTCTTGCGGTTAGCGAGGGCTATCTGGTGGATTGGTGTGGTAGGATGCAAATTGCTGTGGACGTCGTTTTATGACGATTTCATTTCTTTTAGCAGACCTGCACTGTCAAAGAGCACGGAGGCCACCATTGTTTCACTTTTCAGATTGCTTGGTTGGGTTTTTGCAGAAGAAGGTGAGAAATGCATGCCTTTCGACAGCTTGTTTGATGCCTTGGGCGTGTCCTTTGACTTGAGTGCTTCTCACTTGGGTTCAGTGTCAGTCAGAAACACTGAGACCCGAGTTGTGGAGCTTTGCAATGACCTGCAAGAAATTCTCGACAAGGGCTCACTTGGCTTCAAGCAAGCACAACGCTTGCGTGGGCGTATGCAGTTTGCAGAAGCACAAATGTTTGGAAGGACCGGGAGGAGGTGCTTGAAAGTCTTGACTGAATTCTCAGAAGGCCACAGGCAACAGCTAGGGGCCAAGGACGTTTTCTTCTTGAAACTTTTCATGCGATTGTTGCAAAGTAATATCCCAAGGGAAATCAAAGCTCTCAGCAATGACAATGTGGTGATCTTTACAGATGCATGCTACGAGCGCGAAAGCGATTCGTGGCCTTGTGGATTAGGTGGCGTCATTTGCTTTGGTGGACAAACCGAATTCTTTTCCTTGCCAGTAGACAAACTGGGCCGGGCGGCTCTAGGTGAGAACTTCAAAAAGCAGATCATATTTGAAACTGAAACACTTGCGGCCGTTTTGGCCTTTGCTTTGTGGAAGGAATTCTTTGCAAACAAACGTTGCTTGATCTTTGTTGACAATGAGGGAACCAAGTTTGCCTTGCTCAAAGGATCATCAGACAATAACGTTGTGGATTGCCTTGCAGGTTTCTTTGCGGAGTTGGAAGCTGGTGTGCATGCGTTTACATGGTTGGCGCGTGTTCCATCAAAAAACAATATAGCAGATCCACCGTCGAGAAACGACATAGGGAGCAAATTCTTTCAGGATGCAACCAATGTCTCTACTAGAGCTGCTGAACTGTTACAGACACTGGTCACGAGTTTGAAGGAAGTTGGGGTGAGCGATATCGTGACCAGCCAAAGTTCCAAAAAGAACAAGCGCAGCTGATTGGTTGTCAATGGAAAGGGTTTGTGGAATAATGTGATTGTCACGTGTGACTGCACTTCATGACAACAAATGCATTACAACCGGAATGCAACTTTCCTCTCAAGTGGGAGGGTGGGCAGGGTTTCCCACGCTTTTTTGTGCGGATTACCCACCACCGTCCCCGTGCTCCACCTTGAATGTTTTCACAGGCAGGATAAGCCTAGCCCTTTCAGCCTTGAGCGATATCGTGACCAGCCAAAGTTCCAAAAAGAACAAGCGCAGCTGATTGGTTGTCAATGGAAAGGGTTTGTGGAATAATATTTCGTAAGACCGCCGCATGCGACGAATTTTGCTCCAACTTGCTGATTTGAAGGTTTTGACCAATAGAAAGATCGGGACAATGCCCGCTGGGCCCAACAACATGCCTTGGCAGTTACTGCTTTGTGCTGCTTGGAAAAAAATCATTTCTTGTGACAGTGGATGAAACCATACAGGTTCCTTCATGTTCCTTTTGTCCTGTGATGCACATGAACACGATTTTTTGGGAAACAAACTCTCTGTGAAAACTCAGCGACAAAGATGAAGTGGCACCGAGATCATTGAGCAAATCAATACTGGTTGTGGCAAAGACCAGGTTTGATTTATGTTTCATGTCAGCGGGGGGCTGTGCCATCGATGTGCCCGCTGTGGTGTTGAACCCCAAGATGGGAATGCCTTCGCAAGATGTTGCTTGGCTTTACAACAAAAGTAGGTTTTGATTGGAATCCCAAAACTGTCACATTTCGGGATCTGGGGTATGGAACTCACACATTAGCATTCATAAATATTCATAATGGATCTATGTCTATTTTTTGCCATTTACACTGTGCCACTAATTGGTTCACAACTGTGTTGCCCAGGGATTTCAAGTTCCAGGGTGAGGGTTTTGCTCCGGGTTTTGCTCATTGTTCTGAACGGAGGTTGTACCCGGGCCACAGTTACGTGGCTCCTGGCTCGGCTGCTTGGCCAGCGGGGATTTCTGCTTGGCATCTGCTGATTTTTTTGGATTCAAACAAAAATCATGGCGTGTATCACAAATAATCACACTTATTTTTGCAATTCGCCATGACTCAAAAATTTCCCGTACCAAACATGGAAAATTGAACCACACTACAGATACTACAGATGAAGAATTTGTCGGATGATTTTCCCACACAGGTTTTTTTCCCATCAAAAATAAACATCAGAATCTGGTGGCACTTGTGCCATGCTGCCATGCCAAGTTTCATTCGAAAAAATATGTTCTGGAAAGTCCGGAAATGATTTGAACCACCCTGTTGCTGCTGTTTCCAAGGACAATTTCTTGGAACAAACATTGACATATCTCACAGAAACTCCAACAGATCCACTCAACGTCTCCAAATCCAGCTATATCCAGCTATAGTTATCCCTGCTATCCCTGGAATCCATTGGACATTGAGACTTTCCGTTGTGGTTGCTATCCCCAGCCCTAACGACCAACGATCGCCAGGTTGCAGAGTTCTATCCATGCGGAGCCGGACGTTCCTTTGGAGAGCGCCGCCAGGCGGACATGGCGTTTCTGAGACCTGAAAGACCAATGGGTTTGTCCCTAAAAGTGCTATTGCAGAAATGTAACGCACCTTGCATCAGTACATGTACATGCCATAGCAGTCATGTTTGTCACTTGACACTGCACAAATCGAGCAGTGTAACATGGTGAGACTTTTGAGGCGCTTTCAACTCAAGGAAAATCCGCATGGTAGCGGAGCCCAAGGATCCAGATTGGCAACTCTCTGGTGAGGGCTCGAAGGTGGACTGAAACCTATCCACCAGCTGCTGAACTTGCAGCAAAGGGTCTTAGGTAGCGCCATAGTAATTCCCTTGGTGTTCTTTCTTGCAATCATTGCCTGTGAACTAACCTGGAGGTGACTTTGCAATTTTACTGGACCATTGACTGCATTTGGGTTGACCTGGACGTGCAGATTGGACTGGTTTGATTTACAACTGCAGAGCTGAGACAACGATTGGATTGGACCTTGGATTTCTGGCATTGGGATTTTAACGCTTTTACTGGATTTGGTGAGCTGTTGCTGCCGTGAACATGTCTGGCACGCAAGCTACGCAGATCTTGGAAGCAGTGGCAAAAGCTGCTGAAGCAGCATCCCAAGCTGCCATAGCCTTGAAGGAGGCCAATGAGCAGTCGAGACAGTCGAAGACTGGTTTCTCAGAGGCCAGCAAAGTAGTTCAATGCCCAAAGGAATTTGGCTGTGCAACTTCAGCCGACGATCAAGCACTTTGGTCGGACTTTGCATTCTCTTTCAGACAATGGTTGTTTTTCGCAGACCCAGCGTATGAGCCTGACTTCAAGCACATAGAGGATAATCCTGGTTTGACAGTAACCTTCAATGAGACTGCAGCCGGGGAAGCGTCGAAGGAGAGATCCAGGAAGCTCTTTCTCATCCTGGGTGGAATCTTGAAACATAGGCCATTGAAGATTCTGAGGCAGGTGCAGCATCAGAATGGACTTGAGGCATGGAGGCAACTGAGTGCCTTGTACGTGCCACGCACCAAAGGCCGCAGTTTAGCCTTGCTCAATGCTGTGATGCAGTTCCCGGTGATGACCAAGGACAAGACTCTTCTGGAACAGATCCTTCTGTTGGAAAGACTGTCAGACGAGTACACCAAGAGTGCAGGTCATCAAGTGGCTCCTGACATTTTGTTGTCCACGTTGGTGCGCATTTTGCCAAAAGATGTTCAACGCCACGTACAGCTGACAATGACAGAAGATGCAACATACACCCAAGTGCGTGAACAAGTTCTTGCTCATGAAAGGATTTCTTCAACATGGTCTAAAGACAGAGTGATGGCTGACATCAATGGTACAGCCCTTGGTTCAGTGACTTCCTATGCGACTGGTGATTCAGGTGTGGTTCCAATGGAGATCAACCAGGTCAAAGGGAAGTCCAAAGGAAAGGGACAGAAAGGCAAAGGAACACAGAAAGGGAAAGGAAAAGACAAAGGCAAATCGAAAGATGGTGGCAAAGGCAAGGGAAAATCCCAGCAGAGTGGCAAAGGTTATGGATCTCCCTCCAAAGGAGGTGGGAAAACACAGTCGAAAACCGCTGATGTTAACCGATGCAACTACTGTGGTGCCATGGGACACTGGAAACGAGATTGCCGCAAATTTCAGGCTGACAAAGCCAATGGTGTTGTTCGACAAGTTGAAGCTGATGGATCATCTCAACATGCAGCATCAAGCCCAAGCAGTGTTGGAACAGCACAACATTCACCTAGTTCTTCAGCATACCGTTCTTCTGGGAATGTCAACCGTGTTGCTTTCAGCGATAGCACTGTGATCATTGAGGACCTCACAGAATTCTCGAACTCAGGAACTTCTGGTTCTGGCCTTGTTCGAATGTTGCAGCAGTTAGATGTCACCCACTTTGACATGTCTTGCAGTGATGATGACAATGTTTGGACGTGTTCACCAACTTTGCATGATGAGCCCAATCGTTTGCACCATGTCAGGATGATGTCTTTTGCAGGTGTTTCTTCTGCCGAGATCATTTTGGACTCAGGTGCAGATACCAGCGCACTGCCGTTGACTTACGCTGATGTTGGTGAATCATGTCAACATGAGACAGCTGGACAGGACTTCATAGATGCACAAGGTGGAAAACTTGACATACGTGACACAAGACTTGCAACTGTTGACCTTGGCAATGGAGTGATTTTGCGTGAACGTTTCATTATTGCAAACATCAGTTGTCCTTTGGTTGCACTTGGTCACATAGTTCGAGCAGGCTGGGAGATTCAGCATTTCAGTGATGGAGTTTTTCTTGTGAAGAACGGCAAGTTTGTCAACGTGAGCTTCAAGCGCAACTCACTTTGTGTGAAAGGTTCCATTCGAATGATTTCTGAGGATGACTGTTTGAGTCCAACTTCAACAGCTCCAGGACCAAAGGCCTTGAGAGCAATCCATTTGCAGCCAGTGTTGAGACGTTTGCTCCCTGGATGGAACAAAGTGAATCCACAGGTCTATGCATTGACCACTCGACGTGCAAGGTTTGCGGATACTACACTTTGCCCTGGAGGTGAGATGATGTGGTACAGAACAACGTTGGTGTTTCGAGATGCTCAAGGTTGGGAGTTGCTTGAATTTGGAGAACCTATCTCAGAATTGGAAGACTTGGAAGGTGAAATTTACGACCCAGAATCTGTTGTAGAAGTTCTCACACTTGCGCATGCTCACAACGTTGCATCAGAACAGCTTGGTTTTGCCTTGGTAGATGGAGAACAGGCACCCCATTTTGACGCAGACGTCTTGGTTGGAGAACCTGGTGATGGTGACACAGGTGAACAGGAACATGCCCCACAACCTGTGCAAGAGGTCCCAGCTGAATTGCCTGATGCAGAGCCGTTAGGTGAGGAACGCGTTGTGCCATTTGCAGATGAGAGTACAGTGACAGTTGATGGAGTGGTGCTCAGTTGTGACAACACTTTGAAAGCTCTTCGAGCTGGATGTGAAGTTTTGGGTTTGTCAAAGCGTGGTTCCAAAAAGGAATGTATGCGTCGCATGTTGGAGTTTGTGAAGACTCGTGAGCTCATGGAAGCCCATGCAGTGGAGGCTACCCTCAAAAAGGATTCAGAACGTGTTGCAATCCCTCAGGAGAAACCTGTTGAGCCCACGGAGTCCATGAAACAAGCCCACAACTTGGTGCATGAGCCTTATGAAACATGGTGTCCTTTGTGTGTTGCTCACCGCGCAAAGCAAGATGGTCACAAGAGACAGACTCATGAAACAACTGACCATAGCGTTGTGTCATTTGATTTCTTTTACTGCTCTCGAATGCGTGATGAGTCAGACAAGTTGACAGTGCTGATTGTGACTGACCGTGACACTGGAATGTGCATTGCCCTGCCAACACAACAGAAGGGTGGCAGAAGCCTCAATTACCTTGTCACTGAGATGTGCCGCTTCATTGTCCATTGTGGTCACGCTGAAATTGGTTTGCGTTGTGATTCAGAACCATCAACTCTTTCTTTGCTTGAAGCAGTTCGAAAAGCATGTGCAACGTTGAGGATCACAGCCCATGCTGAACCTGCTCCAACAGGAGACCACAGGGCAAACGGCGCAGCAGAGGCAATGGTGGCGGTGATCAGAGCCAAAGCCAACTTGCTGGTATCTCAGATTGAATGGGAAACTGGATGCAAAGAGCCAATTTTTGGATGTCGTCACCCGCTTTATACATGCTCTATTGTTCATTCCTCTTGGTTGCACAACCATTTCACAGTGAAGAGTGCTACAACTGCATATGAACGTGCTTGTGGACGATTTTACAGTGGAAAGATGGCGATGTTTGGAGAGGCAGTCATGGGATTCTTGCGTACCAGTCAAAAAGGTTTACCTCAATGGACACGTGGTGTGTGGCTCAGCAAAGCTATTTCAAATGACTCTCACATCATTGGAACTCCAAACGGAGTCTTTCTTACACGCAGCATCAGAAGATTGCCAACTTCCTTTGATTTGGAGTTGCTTGGAGAACTTACAGCTTCACCTTGGAATTATGGATGTGCAAGTTTGGGGCACAGACTTGTCCATGCAAAACGCGTTGTTCCACCACCTGCAGTTGCGTTTGACAATAGCCTTCGACTGCCAGACAGAGATGCAAAGGATGTTCAAGAGTATGCCAGAGCACACCCTTTTGAGGATGTTGACGAAACTGCAATCTCTGCCGAGGCGGGGCTTCTTGGTCAAGCTCAACAGCCGCAAGATGGTGAACAAGATCCCATCTTCAACGATGAAGGCTTGGAGGAGGCCATTGCAGCAGCAAAGCGTGACTCAAAGGCCCAATCTATGAATGTGGATGTACCTCAGACCCCCGTCTATGGTGAAACTTCTTCTCAAACTACTGGCAAACACGACACACAACATGAAGTGACTGGTGGTGATCCAAAGCGTTTTCATGCAACAGCAGTGGAAGCTTCTTCAGCTCATGGAGATGTTGTTCCACAAACGCCACAGTCAGAAGCAGCAATTGAAGTTTTGGATGATGCTTCTTTTGAAAGCATGCAGCCTGTCAGCAAAGCTGCCAAGCGTGATGGCACTGGACATCTTGGACTTTTGGGGCAGATTTTGAAGATTGAGCACCTTGACATTGAACCTGATGTCAACCTTGAGATTGATGAAGTTGACACGATGATTCAGCATGAATTGAATCTCAACGAGGATCCCTATGAGACCATGGATGATGAGGGACCCAACTTAGATGAGCTCAGTTTTCCATACAGTCCTCAAGAGCCTGAACTCAGTGCAGATGAGCTTCAGCGTTTGGACAGCATTGCAGATCAAGTGGAGGTCGAAAGGCTATCTGGTCTTCAAGTCTTGCAGGAGGACAATTTGCCTCACGATGCCAAGAGCTTGAGCACACGCTTTGTGCGCACCTGGAGAGAAAAGAAGGACAAGGAAGGCAATGCTATCTGGTTACGTCGTAGTCGTTTGGTTGCAAGGGAGTACACATGGTTGCAGCCTGACAGAGAAGCACTTTTCTCACCGGCTACTTC